CGGGGTGGCCGAGCCAGGCGCCCCCCCCACCCCGCTTCCGCAGTTCGAAACTGAGCAAGGAGATGGGAGGGTGGAATTGCAACGAGAAGGAGCTTGAAAGTTGTGTGGCCCATTTGTACCCCAAGAGAAGCAGGAGGAAGGTGTCTGTACAGAACTCACTTTCTGCATGTAGGTCTTTGGGGTCCCGGCTGGAGGTCCCAGAAACCTCCAGATTAGCCTTGCACAAACTTGCATAAATTTATTTATCTCCCTTTCTTCAATCTTGGTTTCTTCAAAGACGGAAACGTATAAAGTGGGGAAGGAGGCGATTTGAGAAGGTGTTAAGGGGTTTGAGTTATTTATATGTTACAAACAGTTTTTCGTTCTTTTTTCTTTTTCTGGAAGGGTTAGTTTCAGTTAGCAAGAGAAAAGATCAAAGTAGGATGCGACTCAGAAACACAATGGGCGTCTTCCGGAGTAGTTGCATGCTGCATGGGGTTGTTGGGGTAGCTGCCCTGGGCGGACCTTAGTGGAAGTTCCGAGCTCCAGCCTGAGGTTTTCAGGATTTGTCTTGATGAGAAACAGATAAATCAATGCTGGGCATTTGTAATCAGGGCTTCAAACTGAGCAGGAGAAGTGTTAAAAAAAAAAAAAAAGCCAAATTCCCACCAAGCCCCCTAACTTTATGTCGGCCCAGATCAACATGCTTTTGCTCTAAACCAGAGAGACAACATGCTTTATTCTGGGAGACCAGAGGCTTGTGTGTGCTTGGATAAAACATTTCCTCTGCTCTGATAAAAATGTGTATTGGTTGATTAAGCAATCTCCTATCCCTATTAGACAGTAAGGACCAATTAGTCACGCATTTTTTTCCAACAGTTGGTAGCTCGAAAAAAGTGAAATAAAGGTTTCCTAATCCGATCACCCACTGAGCACAAGCAGCCAGAGTTACCGACTTTTCAAAGTCTATTGTGTGTCCTTTAAATACCTAGCTGGCTCTGCAGAAATGAAGTAAATGGATTTCTCTTAAGGAGCGGAGACAGCATCCCTGCTGTAAAAGGGCAGATAGGAAAAAAAAAATGCAAACTTGTAATTTGTCACAAAAGATAAACGCACTTCCCAAAGGAGTAGGTGCCGGGTTTTCCAAAAACACTTCAAGAGACAAGGAAATAAACTCGCTTGTTCACAGAGTTGGAGTTTTGCTAATGATTTCTTGTAAAATTAGACTTTTATGACTTAACCCTGTTCAAGATCTTTTTGACAAGCTTGTAAAAGTAGCAAATGGCTTGTGCTAGTGAGTTCTGATGATTTTGGGTCTCTGGCCAGAAACCTGAGAACCAAAATCTTAGGCTTCATAGAAGGTATCAGAGTCTTCCCCATGTTTTGAGTGTAGACATTGTAAAGGGTGACTGCTCTGACTTGTTGAAAGGGTTTGCAGTTATTAAGGTCCTTGGAAGTTAACCATTATGGCTAGGGAAACTGCCTTATACCACAAATATGTGTTTTACAGTTGTGTGCTAAATGATTTTATACCTGTAATTCTGGATATACCCCTCTCCCCCCTTTTCTTTACAGGAGTGTGGAGCTTTAGCGAACTGTTTTTCATGAAAGAACCCCAGGATGTAACTGTCACAAGGAAAGACTCCGTCTCTCTAGATTGCCAGGCTCACGGAGAAGGTCCCATTAAGGTCACGTGGATGAAAAATGGAGCGAAATTGTCTGAAAATAAACGGATCCAGGTTCTATCTAACGGCTCTTTATACATCAGTGAGGTGGAGGGCAGGCGAGGAGAGCAGTCAGATGAAGGATTTTATCAATGCTTGGCAGTGAACAAATACGGGGCCATTCTCAGTCAGAAAGCTCATCTGACATTGTCAAGTAAGTGTTTTAAGTTCTTCTTGGTGGTAACAGTTTTCTGTTAGAAGGTTTTTTTCTTATTGGTTTATGAGTAGCACTAAAATCATACATATGTTAAGAATTTCACCAGAGATGATAATAGCTGATGTTAACGGAGGTGTGCAGAGACTTCTGCAAAAACTACATAAACTTGAGTTGTTGAGAGCCAAATTCAAATTAGAGTTTGGAAATGGCAGGTGACTATCTAAATTTCAAGCGTTGCACACTGTAAGAATTACATGAAGAAGTTTGTGGTAAAATTTCAATCTTTTAGAAATCATTGAATGGAAACAATCACAAGCAAATCTTTCTGCTGTGTGGTTGGCTCTTGAGTGCTAACTCTTGCAGCCCAACCTTCCATCTCTCAGACCGTCGTTCTTAACACTCGTGTTGCTTTTTGATTGCAAGAGAGGCATTGGTCAGTAACTCCAACTCTGAGGCTTTTGAAATGTTTCGAGTCTTTTCCAGTTGGGAGGGGAGATATCAAGGCCATTTCTGTCTTAGGCCTAATAAGCCAGATCTGCTCATTTAGTTTCTCCGATTATTATAAACTCTGCTGTCTAAGGATTTCCTTTGTATTCACTTCATCTGAGCAACTGTCAGCCTTATGATCCATTGGGTGGTGGTTGACCTGGTAACTTCAGGGTGTCAGGAGCTGCCTAGGACAGGTAAGGGAGCACCTTAAGGTTACCACCTCTTCAGGTGACCAGGCGACACACTCAACGAGGTGGGGTGTTGGGAAGAGTTTTACAGCTCTGGTTATGCTCTTAACCTCCCGGAGGGCAGATTTTTGCACTATACACACACTAATCCGTTCATAAAGCATTCAACAGGAAGAGTGTGTTCTTGAGATAACCATATAACCTTTAGGGAGTGGTTTATCCAAGGTCTCCACAATTGAAGCTCCGAAGGTGGCTTCGAGTTTCCCAGGTAACTTAACTACACTCAGGGGGGCATATTTCTGCTGCACTTAATAGAGGTAATTCATGTAATTGTGTGGTGATGATGAAGTGTAGAAAATAACGGCAGAGAGATACTTGTGTTGAGCTGTGTTGGCAAATTAGAGATGCTTCCAAGCCTAGCCCCACCCTCACCCCTGCCAAAGACTAACATTTCTCTGAGAAGATTTCTGATAAACTCCACCCTCAATGCCCCCTGCCGTTTCCCTTGGGCTTTGATCATTGGCCATTGAAATCTTTCTTTGAGTACTGGTTTCCCTGTTCAGGATCACTTTGAGGAGACTGAGTTTTAGCCTATGCCCGGGTCATTTGAGTCTTGTGTAACAAACAATCACTCTGGGGTTCTTCTATCCCCATATTTTCATATTTGTGGAATCTTTTTTTTTTTTTCAAATTTTTTTTTCATGCCAAGGAGCTGTAGTTTGTGTTTCTTTTGTGGGGAAGTGGGTGGTGGAGGGGGAGTGGACAGGGCTTAAAAGACAAACATTTATCAGGACCACACTTGTTTCCAGGACCTCCTGAGAAGCTTGGCAGAATCCCACAACTTACCCTACTTTTTGATTCCATAAATAAAATCTGAAATGAAGCAAATATCAGGACCAGGGGCTTGGTTAGTGACACAGTGTTGAAGCCTGTGTTTGGCATGATGGTGTGTGCTTGACATGATTAGTGTGTGGGTTCAGTTCAAACCTAAACCAACACCCCCCAAAAACCCTAATCATCCAAAAAGCATAACATTTTGAGTATCTTCACATTTTTGTATCTTTAAATTTTTTTTATTAATAACACCTGATCACATATTAATTACTTTACAAAGTATTGTGGGGAAGTAAATGACCTAATCTTCATATTATAAATACAGACTTTTGGATTAAAAAAAAAATCAGGTGTGTTGCATACCTGTGGTCCCATCTTGTGGAAGGCTGAGGCACGAGGATGGCGAGTTCTAGGCCCGTTTGGACTGTTTATCCAGACCGTGTCTTAGAAACGTTTATTTACTCACTCAGCCATCTCAAAGGCACTCAGAAACAAGCAAAACTTCCCAGATTAACTGCTTAGATCATCACCTTGCTTTAGATGGTGATCTTTCATCCAGTCACTATTACGGATTTTAAAACAAGAAATGCACAGTGGATTTAAATTTACATTTTTCTTTAAGAAGGCTTCCAGTGATCCTGTATCCATACAGTTTTGTTGTTTAAGAGGCCTCGTCTTGTGACAGGGGCTGTAATCGCTCTTCCTGTGCAGATGTTATCCAAAGTGACCAGGAAGAGGGGAGCATTAAGTGGGCATTCTGTTGTTTTTGTGTGTGTTTTTTTAAAGCTAGTTCTTCCACTTACTGATAACAGCAGGGTACGAGTGTGTTCTTTTGTTTTCTTAGGGATTTTATGAGTGAATGCATCTTTTGGTTTAGCGGTGGTAGTCACTACCTGTAATCTAAAACCTTAATCTGTGCCACTCTTGGGTTTTTTAACACACAGGCTGACTCTTAGTTTCTGAATTTAGCGGCTAGAAGCGGAAAGTTGCACTCTGGGCCAGAATTCCATTATTCATGTGTAAATTAGGAATCGGCAGGGTTAAAAGGTTAGACATGGCCGGGTGAGGTTTACCCTGTGATAAAGAGCAGATGACCCTCATTCATGGGCCCAGCTTTCATGTAGCTCTTCTGCAAAGTTGCTTATTGCCATGGATTGTTCTTGAGGAATGCAGAAATTCGAATGCGAGCAGGCCCTTCCTTAAGTGTCACTGTGGGGCCTTATCTCCCAGCACATCAGCACAGGGTTCTTCCCCAAGGCCTGGAGGCTTGGCTTTCCAGTTGTTCACCCAAGCACAAAAGAATGCGTCTAGTTTAGTTTTGCTAAGGCATCCCGTTTTAAAAAGGAAGACACAGGGTTAAAGTAATATATAGCTATTTTTTTTAAGTAATCCTTTGTACTGATAGCCATTTTATCATCCCCTTTTTACATTTTCATGTAATTTGAAAAGAGGTAAAGGATGTTGGGAGCCCTTTTTTCTAGTTGCATATAATAGTAATCAGAACATTAAAATAGGACCTATAAATGTAACTATGTTAAGTTTTAGTACATCAAAATTTCACCTACTTGAGTGCTAAGTCTTCCTTATGTAAACACTGTAACTAAAATATTTTAGGGATACCAAATGACCAGGGAGCGTCTTGATGTTCTTAATGCTGGCGTAAGATAAATCCCATAGGAAAGCATTAGTGTGCTTAAACAGTATCATATTTCAACAAGTTTAAATTAAGATAAGGGAAGTAAACGAGGAGGTGGGCGTATTCTGTGATGTGTAGAAGTCTGGCCATCAGTGAGGCTGAACAGGAAGCTCCATGTTTGTCTCCTTTCCATAAAAGGTGGGAATCGAAGCCCCTAGATAGAATGAGAGCACAAATCTGTCCTGTCTTTCTTAGGTTTTCGTGACTTTTTTTTCTTGAGCAAAGACAAAAAAGAAGTTGTACATGAAAGAACATGGGAATTCTCTTAACTTCATAATGCTTCTTAGAGATTTGAGATTAATTTTAGCCCCAGTGACGCTCAGGCGAGCCATTCCTATAACTTTTAAGGGGCAAGAGTCCTTGCCTTTAGTAAGATATGCTTTTCATAAATAAAATGCTTCTATTTCAGTTTAAGATGAACTTTCAAGGATTTTTATTTTGTGGGTATGGTTTTCTGCCGTAAAGAGTAATTTATCAAGTGTCATCCCAAGTTTAATTTGAAATGTAAAGAACGTTTAAAACTTTTAAAATAATGTTTGGAAAAAGAGGATGGTGTGGCGTATGAAGAGAGAATAAGAATATGAAAATATAGCTCAGATATTTGGATTTTATTAGAGATGCTGAACCCAAAGCTGGTAAAATTTTTCTGCAGCATCCCTGTCCCAGTGGGGTTTGTGGACTTTGAGGGGCAGTGGGGCACACAAGCTCTTAGCAGTCACACGCCCTAATTCAGCAACTCTAACAGGGAACTCAAAGTCGCTGGATTTTTGGAAAAATAAAGAGAATGAAACAGGTATTTTGAGAGACTGGTTTGCTAACTCTGTAAAAATAAAGTGTAGTTACTGCTTCCTGATGTCCTAGAGAGTGTGTGGTTTAAACGATCTGTTTAAGTTACAGTCAGTTATCCTGGATACATGAAGTCAACTCAGTAAAAGCTGCACACACCTGGTCCTGCAGCCTTCACTGCCAGGCTGGGCTCTGAAGGTCTCTACTTGAGGTCTGCTTATCAGGGGCCCGATAATCTCTGGGTCAGAGAACCAGTTTTTCCTTTTTTTATATGTGATTGATGTCTCATTTTCTGCCACTTGTAACACTATCTCCCTCTTTTCAAAGTTGTTGGATTCTTTTTTTTTTTTTTTCTTTTTTGGAAGCAAAGCAGGATCCACCAAGAGGGTAGAGTTCTATGTTTCTTGAACACACACATACACACACACACACACACACACACACACACACACACACACACACACACACACACACACACACACACACTTTTATTTCTGTCCATTTTTAAAAGGAAATCCCAAAAGGGTCCTGGGTCTATACCCTTTTGGTCAGCTGTCTCTTATGAATCCAGAGAAAAATCTTCACAGTCAGGGGTTGTTTGTACAAACCCCTGGGGATCTGTGCTCCCAAATTCAACAGCTGGGCCTGTGGAGGAAGCTCTCAGCAATTTAAGAGACTAGCCAAAAACTAATCTTTTAAGTGAGGCTTTGGGTTTAATGCATATTTCAGTTAATAAATCAGAAGCATTTGAGGTTACCTCTGTGAAAGCCACATTTTAACTATGGTTAGGAGACAAGATCTTGTCTTATAGCCAGAGTTGCTCAGCCAGGATCTAGTAAACAGTAAACTTGCTAGTATTCAGCTAGAAAACTTATGAAGACTTACTTGCAAAATAATCAACCATGTTGAGTCATGCTTGATCTCTTTGAAAAGAGACATATTTACTTTTATTTTATGCCTATGTCTATTCCTGCCTGCAGGTATATGCACTACATACATGCCTG